ACACACTTGATATCCCTACACAGATCTGCATAATTTTATCCTCACCATAGGAATCGAATGAGCATTGAAAGCGTTCGGAACCCGAAATTCTGTCGTAGTGCGGCGCCTTTCGGCTTGGAGGGGCACAAAGTGGGACTTGGCGGGGCCTCTACCCTTTCAAGATATGTAACTTCTTGTAAAGAAGGGCTCACATGTGCTATATCGCAGCCTCACAGGAGCTCACAGGTCCAAAATAAATGTGTTTGATGAGGCTTGCAAAAAGATTAAGAAAAGTGCAAAGTACCCCTCCCAAGCAAAAAAACTATCTGGAAAAATGGGAAGAGTGATAAATGGAGGTTTCCACCATCAGAGATAAAGCTCGAGTTAGGGGTCGTTATAAGATTTCCACCATTATTGTTAGAGTGTCATAACCTATAGAATGGCTGAGCAACGAGGGAACTCTGTGAAAGGTTTCTAGAGGGTTAAGCTCCCAGGTGGAACTCGCCTTGATCTCTTTCAGTCTGCGAGAGGCTTACATTTTTTTCAGCTTCACCTACGAAGCGCAAGGCACCGTATCCCTGATGCTCTCTCGAGGCAGAAGCAGAGGGGTCGTAATTCAGTCTCGGGTAGGAGGATTCAATTTTGAGCAAAGCCCAGGGCTCTTGTGAATTGCATCCCCCAGTTAACTAGCCACCGTTATTTCCTTCTCTCTCTTTATAATCTCACGCGCCGTCTGGGGGTGGTATACCGGACCGCTCCCTGACCGGCGAACCAGGCCTTCTACCCTCCACGGAGTGGAAATCGGTACTAGACTTGTGGGGCAGATAGGAACACTTACTTGCATATCGGCTACCCCCCCCCCCAAGTCATTGTTTAGGAAAGTGGTAGGTGGGAAGGGGAGGGGGGTCGTATCAGAGAATGGAACTACGGGGGGGCTCGTATTTGCAGTTTATCCACAGCGATGGCGTGCCCTGCCACATCGAATTCATTACATAGGCCACTGCGACTTCGAATGGAGGTAGAGAGCGCGCCAAGGAAAGGATTGATAAGCAGAGAAGACTCTACCCTTATCCTTTGTCTGCCCCTTCCAGTGGAAAAAAAGATTAAACCGATTTTCAACCGGGATTCGTGGCCGTTCGAGAAGTCATCTGTCATCCACATAAGCCAAGCTCAAGTCCAGCTGTTTTTGTCTGACATCTGTCTCATGAACGTACGACCAAAAAACCAGTTGCAATTTGGGATATGGCGCAAAACTCGTCCCAATGTTATCACAACCACTATGGCTTGTATCGTGCGCATAGCCTGGAGACAAGAACACTCTAGAAGTAGTATCGGACGAGTTCTTGATTCGTACATTAATCCATGTTTTTCACAGCTGTGCAGCCGATGCGATTTATGTGAAATTGAAGACGAATCGAACGTTTGAAGGGCATGTACACATGAAATTCGTATCAAACAAGCAATGTTATCAGGTAACAATTGTTCTGGATAAAATAACCCTTGGCGCAGTTCAACTAGGGAGGGGGGAATTTTCTACGTCCGCTGCTTACCGTTGTCCAGACGAACCATCAAGTAGAGATTCGTGAACTCTTGTGTTGTCATAAAGTGATACCGAGCAGAGATTGTGGAAACTATCTGACAACTCTCTTTAAGCAATGAACACGACAACGAGAAGCAGAGAAAGAGTAAAATACCCCTACCCCCAGGCGAACTGCGCCTAAACCTTAATATTTTCAAGTGCTTTTGCATTCATGGCTCCCCGAAGTGATCGATAGCTCTGAGATCAGCCTCCACTCTTAGAGTTGCCTCCCTAAAGCCCTAGAACCGTCAAATTGGCTGCT